CTATACCGTTCCTGACACTGTGCTGGATGTGGTGTACTTAATACAACACCGTTCTGTACACTGTGCTGGATGTGGCGTACTGAAGACAACACCGTTCTGTACACTGTGCTGGATGTGGCGTACTGGAGACTACACCGTTCTGTACACTGTGCTGGATGTGGCGTACTGGAGACTACACCGTTCTGTACACTGTGCTGGATGTGGCGTACTGCAGAATACACCATTGTATGTACTGTGCTGTGTGTTACATTCTCCAAACCATCCCACTATGTATACTGTGATGAGACCTAATCCCTGCAGATATCCCACAATCCTCCACTCTCTTGTTCTGTGTATGTAGCTATGACTGTTGAGATGCTTGACTTCCTCCTCTTGATTGACGGTTTGTACCTTGTAAATATAAACCAGGTTTAGCTGTACACAAAGCCTCAATGTCACTCTCTAGGTTACAGTCTTGCACAGTATTTGCAGTGCCATCTCAGCACAGCAGACATTTGTGGCAGATGCAGATACTTTAGCTGGAATAATATCAATAAGCACCATTTACATAAGGTGTATACATCACTTTGACCAACATGACAGGTTCTCTTGATCTGCCTACCCATTGCTATCTTCCTTCCCTACGATCCCTGGCCACTCCAGTAGCCAACGTAAATGCATAGGCCTTCCATGGATGAAGGAGCATGTCACCGTCTCCCCTTCCTCCAGGGATTCGGTGCTCATGCCTGGGCGGCCAAACAATGGTATCTGGGGGAGAAGCTTACAATGGGAATAGACTGGCCACTCCTGCACTCAGCCATGGTGACTAGGGAGCTCTGGGGCAGTACGTATCTGTGGGTGAGAGTAAGTGGTCCCCGTCAGGAGAACCTGCACTTTGCCTTGAATGGGTAAAGTGACAGGTTCTCTTTAAAGAGCAATTGCTGAAATTCCTGTGTGCAACAAAGAGGATCTTCACTCTCATGCACAGTAAAGCTGCCAGCTTCCAGGTGGGTCAGGTGCTTGCACGCCACGCGTTGTGGTCTGAATCTGATGGGCACTATGTGCCTACTCTGTCCCTGTCAAGAGAGCAGCATGGAGGCTGCCATTGCAGACATCTCCTTCTGTAAGCTGGGTCAGAAGAAGCTGCTAGCTGCCTGGCTGTCATGCTTTGAGCCACTAATTTGGAACACAGATACATAGTTGGAAAGTCAGAAGCCTCTATATGATTTTTGCCCCAGCTCCGTGACTCATTAAGCACTAAAGCCGAAGGTTCAGCCAGCAAACCAGCATTTTCAGCAGGCAAAGGCAAAAACTCCTTATAGCCTCGGTGGGCCTTGCAGGAAATGTAAATTTATTTTCTTGAGCCCCCCCTGCTGGTAGCTGTGCACAATGCCTCTGAACAGCACTGATGCCCTCTGCTGCTTGTCATGCTTGTAAGATGTTGTATGTATAAGAGCCTTTTGTAAAGTTTAAATTCTTTCCATCCATTTTGGTTTTGTGTTCATTTTATTGAAATACCTTTTAAATCCTCCAAACCCTCATCTCACAAGGTTTGTGTAGTTATTCCTGTTACAATGAAACGTTATCGTTGTATTTTTATGTGTGTATCCATATAACATACATGCACTATATTCCTTGTGTGTGTGTGTCTCTCCATGTGTTGCTGAATTTCCTTCCCTACCTATGTGCTAGACCAGGCCTGGGCATTTTATGGCCCACGGGCCACATCCAGGCCTTTGACAGTCTCTGCCTGGCCTGAGGTCCGGACACAGACTGATAGCATACGCCCGGTTATGGCTGGCTGGCAGTGGATGCACTGGCCTCCAATGCCGGTGCCCTAGCCCAGCGCAGGCCCCTTCTTCAATCACTGGTTGCTTGGATCGCTGGCATCCTAGCAAACAATGATATTAAGTGTCCTCCTCCTCTGCAGTCAATAGTTGCTGTTGCTAGGACCGCTGGTGTCTTAGCAACCAATGATGTAATGTGTCCACCTCCTCTGCAGTCATTATTTGCTGTTGCTAGGACCGCTGGTGTCTTAGCGACCAATGATGTCATGTGTCCACCTCTGCAGTCATTATTTGCTGTTGCTAGGACCGCTGGTGTCTTAGCAACCAATGATGTCATGTGTCCACCTCCTCTGCAGTCATTATTTGCTGTTGCTAGGACCACTGGTGTCTTAGCGACCAATGATGTCATGTGTTCACCTCCTCTGCAGTCATTATTTGCTGTTGCTAGGACCGCTGGTGTCTTCGCAATCAATGATGTCAGGTGTCCACCTCCTCTGCAGTCAATAGTTGCTGTTGCTAGGAAGGCTGGTGTCTTAGCAACCAATGATGTCAAGTGTCCACCTTCTTTGCAGTCAATGGTTGGTAGGGCCGCTGGCATCTTAGCAAGCATTGATATCAGTCATTGGTTGCTAGGGCCACTGGGCGGTCTGGGAAAGGGCCCTATCTCTTTAGGAGGTGAACCATTGAAACAGCCTAGTGCACTTTTGTGTGTGTTCGCATGCACTTTTTTGTTTACAAGGTGTTTAGGATTTGTGCACCCAACGCAGGCTTCAAAAAATAAAATAAAATAGATCCACTTTAATTCAGTGTTCCTTTGGCTGATGTAAGGACTCGTGCCTGTGTACTGGACACTGTCGCGGTGAATGCCGTTTATTTATGCTCGGCGTTTATCTTGGCTTCGGTGACATGTCAGGATTCCGTCCAGTTCCCGTCTGAATGAGGCTGCTGTTGGTGCGGGGGTGCGCACAGCGAGGGCGATATTTCTAGGCAGGGTACACAAACGACGTGTTTCCAGTAACTTCATTTGCAGCGAGCATTCCTGTAGCACTACGCTGTAGTCCACCCTTTCCAACCACAGGGGTCAGCGGGTGCGTATTTAAAGAGCACCTGTTGCCTTTTAACATTTCCAGTGTTATTCTAGTGTCAGTTTTTGAATAAAATTGCTGACATACTAAACAAAGAGATAACGGAGCGTGTTGTGTAAAGTCGTAGAAGCTTCCAAGATAATGGTAGATTCTATTTATCTCGCAGGGGATGTATGATACCTCTACATAAAGACCATAGCGAGACTAGGTAAGGGACAAGCTTGGCTCTCCAAATCACAGCATGCCTCTCCCTCTGGGAGTCATGTTTGTGGCTGTCAGAGTCTTGCAATGCCTCATGGGGCTTGTAGTTCCACGGCAGCTGGAGTGCTGAGGTTGCCTAACCCTGATCTAGGAACTGCAGATACTATCAGAACATATTTCTAAAATTCATCAATATTTTATCTGTACATCATTTCAAATCTTATGAAATCAATTCACTTGCAGACTTGTGCATTGCGTTAATGTGCAGTAAAATGAGCACATTACTACCAGGCATCTGCATTATGTACATTGTGAAGTGTGCGACTTACAGCAGTCCAACATAGGGTCTATGCATAAACTCTGCCCTCTGTATATCTGTGAACATTCGGTCTGTGTGCATATATGGCAAAATCAATGTTCTTTAGTTTCTTTACAAGGGAATGTACTTTTAAATGTTTTTTTTTTTTAAATCTAATCCTGCATGATGGCCACTAGATGCCGTTGAGCAGTAAAAATTAGGAATGCACCGATACCGGTATTTGGGTACCAAGTATGAGTACCGATACTTTTTTTCCCTGGATTCGCCGATACCAAGTACCGGAAGTCCCATTCAGGAAGCCAGATGGCGTGTAATGACTCGCCACCTGGCTTCCCGATTAACAAGAAAGCCGTCCCATATGAATCCCCATAATAATCATATGATCCAGCATGTCTCTGCAGTGCGGATCTCTGTCCCCTCTCATCTCGGCATGTCCAGCCTGTCACCCCCGGGTCCTCTCCAGCCAGGAGCGGCCTTCCTCCGGTACCCAGCTGGAGCCGTCTTGCTGGCTAATCATGGAAGCCGGGCGCAGTGTAATGACGTCATTACACGGCGCCCTGCTTTCTTATTGCCCAGGAGGCCGGCTCCATGCTCGACGATGACGAGGGAGCATGAAGCCGGCTCCGTGCTCTCTCATCACAAGTGACGAGAGAGCATGGAGCCGCTTCCCGGCCAATCAGGAAACCGGGCAGCGTGTAATGACGCACTGCCCGGCTTCCTGATACAGGAAGTATCGGGCTAGGCATCGGAGCATTTTGACGAGTATAACTACTCGCCCAAATACTCGGTGTCGGCACCGATATCGATACTAGTATCGTTGCATCCCGAGTAAAAATATTTCCTGTGCTCCTCAACTTCATCTAGTGCCCATAAACTGCTATTACATGAGAACCTTTGAGCATCCATTGCACTTAAAGAAAATAACTAAGGAGCGTTCATTTTGGCACATGTTCACACAAAGCGAATGTTCACAGATATCATTGTTTATCAATGGACCCCATGCCTTGTGGTACACTACATTGCCGGGGGAGAAAAAAAAGGGGGAGGCCTTGGGTTGTTTTTTATGTTATCCTTTGCTGTACGTTGGCAGTCCTTTCATAATGAATAGCCTACCTTAGGGCAACACACATGATCACACAGCAAAGGTGACACCAGCCTATGCGGGGGACAATCACAAGGACAGGCATGTCCCGGGGCAGATCGAGGGGTATTGAGGACTATCAGAAATGACCGATTCATCCTTGCCTTGTGTTTCCTTGCAGACACTTGATGGTAACGTATACGATCACCTAAAGGATTACCTCATGGCCTTCAACAGGACGGAGCTGGAGACGTGTCAAGCTGTCCAGAACACATTCCAGTATTTGTTAGAGACATCTAGTCGGGTAAGCGCCTCTTGTGGCCTCTTTTCTCCTTTGTATTGACAGGGAAACCCACATGAGAGGCTTGAGGACTTTACAGAAACACTTGTTACATATCAAAATGAAGCCTTTAAAAAATAGATGGGATGTGATCTGCTGCATTTCATCCAGACATACCCTGTTTCCCTGAAAATAAGACCTACCCCGAAAATAAGACCTAGTACTATTTTTGGGAATTGCTAAAATATAAGACCTACCCCGAAAATAAGACCTAGTTGTGACCATTGCCAGGGCTGGTGGTGGCATAAGGGGGAACCTGAAGAGCCGCGGGAGACAATTAGCGGTGCCAATGAATGGAAAGGTATGGCACCCCTGATTGCCCTGATCACACTATTCTTAACATTGCCATTTTGGATTATTTAATTTGGATTTGCATTTACTTTGGATTGTTATATATTAAAAAATAAAAATAAGACCTACCCCGAAAATAAGATCTAGTGTGTTTTTTTTAGCCCAAAAAAATATAAGACATTGTCTTATTTTCGGGGAAACACGGTAGCTGCAATGAACCAGGCCACCTACTCCCTAAATGGTGTTTTGCTGGTTATTTGCTCCGGGAACACCAGTTTCTGAGCCACGTGAATGTGAATATTCTGAGCCCTGCTTGTTGTCAGAGCTACATGTAACATGTAACAAGAAGTAACACTAGTAATTCACAGTCATAAACTGTGTTCTCTTCTTCTCACAGCATACAACACGTTCTGTGATTGGGCGAGGGGAGGCGCAGATGAAATACGTTTATTGTAGGGGTTTACATACAATTTAACTTTAAATGTAGATTCTCTGCTTTGGGTGAATATATGATTTAGAGGCATTCCTATGTGGTACTGCGCCAAATCCAACAATAGGGGGGTTCTATGCTAGATCCACCAATAAGGGGGTTCTGTGCTAGATCCACCAATAAGGGGGTTCTGTGCTAGATCCACCAATAAGGGGGTTCTGTGCTAGATCCACCAATAAGGGGGTTCTGTGCTAGATCCACCAATAAGGGGGTTCTGTGCTAGATCCACCAAATGGAAAGGTATGGCACCCCTGATTGCCCTGATCACACTATTCTTAACATTGCCATTTTGGATTATTTAATTTGGATTTGCATTTACTTTGGATTGTTATATATTAAAAAATAAAAATAAGACCTACCCCGAAAATAAGATCTAGTGTGTTTTTTTTAGCCCAAAAAAATATAAGACATTGTCTTATTTTCGGGGAAACACGGTAGCTGCAATGAACCAGGCCACCTACTCCCTAAATGGTGTTTTGCTGGTTATTTGCTCCGGGAACACCAGTTTCTGAGCCACGTGAATGTGAATATTCTGAGCCCTGCTTGTTGTCAGAGCTACATGTAACATGTAACAAGAAGTAACACTAGTAATTCACAGTCATAAACTGTGTTCTCTTCTTCTCACAGCATACAACACGTTCTGTGATTGGGCGAGGGGAGGCGCAGATGAAATACGTTTATTGTAGGGGTTTACATACAATTTAACTTTAAATGTAGATTCTCTGCTTTGGGTGAATATATGATTTAGAGGCATTCCTATGTGGTACTGCGCCAAATCCAACAATAGGGGGGTTCTATGCTAGATCCACCAATAAGGGGGTTCTGTGCTAGATCCACCAATAAGGGGGTTCTGTGCTAGATCCACCAATAAGGGGGTTCTGTGCTAGATCCACCAATAAGGGGGTTCTGTGCTAGATCCACCGATAAGGGGGTTCTGTGCTAGATCCACCAATAAGGGGGTTCTGTGCTAGATCCACCAATAAGGGGGTTCTGTGCTAGATCCACCGATAAGGGGGTTCTCTGCTAGATCCACCGATAAGGGGGTTTCATGGTAGATCCACCGATAAGGGGGTTTCATGGTAGATCCACCGATAAGGGGGTTTCATGGTAGATCCACCGATAAGGGGGTTTCATGGTAGATCCACCGATAAGGGGGTTTCATGGTAGATCCACCGATAAGGGGGTTTCATGGTAGATCCACCGATAATAAGGTGGTTATGTGGTAGATCCACCAATAAGGGGGTTCTGTGCTAGATCCACCGATAAGGGGGTTCCATGCTAGATCCACCGATAAGGGGGTTTCATGGTAGATCCACCGATAAGGGGGTTTCATGGTAGATCCACCGATAAGGGGGTTTCATGGTAGATCCACTGATAAGGGGTATTTTGTGCATATTAGCTAGTGGGGGGGGGGTCACAATATATAACAGCTTAGATCTGCTTTAAGTTAACCTGTATTGAGAAGTAGTGCCCTCCAAAAATGCTAGTTGCCTGGCTGCCATTGGCATGAAAACTTTGAGTCAGTGACTCAGAAAAAGCCTGGCTCAAAAAGTATTGGACTTCATTCCCACGTCCGGAGGCGAATTCCTGCGGGTATTCTGCGTTTGGATGTATTCACACGTGGAGCAATGATCTAACTGTAGGTAATCGCTCGATGTGTGATTACCTCTGAACACAGGCGGACAGCTGAGGCCGGTGTCAGCCTCTCATTGCTTTGTGCAGGCTGAGCGGCCGCAACCACCAGGGAACTACCTGCGTTTCCTGCCACAAGAATCCGCCTCCTAGCAGAACTCACTTGTGAGAATGAGGCCTTGAAGTCTTTGGATCAGCATTACAGCCAGGAAACTCGCATTTTGCAAGGGAGAATTCAGCAGTGGTTTACTTTTGTCGTATCTTAACCAAGAATACCAAGTTCTGGATCACGCAGTATGTTGTCATATATTATTTCCTATATTTATATTTCATATATTATTCTGTCATTGGTCTCCTGCAAAGCTTTCAGGAAAAAAAATACCCAAATCGTATCTTTGATATTCCAGGCTTTCATGCAGCTGAAGTTTCCGTCCTCGGTAAGAGTTTCAGGATCAACCCCCATCCCGTCCTACGATGCCTTATCTTTATGTTCAAGGACTTTGCCTAAAGCTGAACATGAACATGGTGCAGGTGGAACACATTTACAGTCGGCAAGGCCACCCACTGTTAGAATTTCAGCCAATTCTTGTGAATCAGATGACATTTTAACAGTGTATGGCCAGATTACAAGAGAACTATGAGGTAAGTGTTTTTTCCCATAATTCTCTTAAGGGTCACTGAAGGACATATACTAGCGTCCTCCTGTGACCCAAAGCTTAGTATATGGCAAGCTACAGCTTGCGGTATACTGAGACCGCCGCAGCCGGGACGGATCCCAGTGTTACTGTTGAGATCCACCCAGCTGCGTGAGTGACAGCTGGCTCTGCCTATCTAGAGGCAGAGCCAGCTGTACCCGCCCCGTCCGTTCCTCCAGTCAGCTCTGGAGGATCGATGCGGAAAGGTTGGAATCCCTGCGGTGAGCGATGACTTGACAGTCACGGCTCTCTGCAGGAACATGATCGAGAAGTGAGCGAGCGATGGTATGTGTTTGCTCACTTCCCGATCTATTAAGCCGACGTGTGACAGATTTATTGTCGCACGTCGTCTCGAATTATGAGGATGAGTGATTTTAACTCGCCTCATATTCTCCTTTAAGGCTCCTTTCACGCGGTCCGATCAAGAAAGGATCCGTGCACAGATCCCCCGCTGAACGGAATAGATGTCACCATTGTGACATCGGTGTCCATTCAGTTTTTCCTCCATCTTGCGATGGAGAATAAAATTGAAATGACTGGACCTATGTTAGTCTATGGGGAATCGGATTTAAATGGACTTATACATCAGATTACCCCCGATCCGGCACGATCAGGTCCGGTAACACGGATCTCCGATCCATTTGTTTTTCTTGACCTGGCTGGAACCAGAGATAACTGGATGTAAACAGGCGCTCATCCATTTAGATCCGGCTACCCATATGCTAACATTGAGCTTCCAATCAGGTCCACCCATCAGTTTTTTAGCTTCGGTTGAAAGTCTGTGTGAAAGGGCTCTAAGCCTTCAACCTGATTAATTTTATGGCTGATTAGACCTGTTACATGTATGGGCACCATTGGGGGCATTTTATCACTTTTTCCCTATAATTGTAGTTTTTTTTGACTGCCGAGTTTTCTTACCGCACAGATCTGCGACTGAAGCAAGGGTTTTCAGCTTTAGGCCAAGTCCTTCAAGTTCCTTTCAGTTTTTACATCTCCGCGCATGCATGCTCTTACACGAGCAACTTTTTGTTGTCAAATACCCGTCAGTGGTTTATTTTCCTCAGCCAAGCCTGGTTGCAGTTTATGCATCATTTTTATTTTAGTTATGTCATATCAGAGTATATCGAGTTGCTTTGGGCCACAGGTTGATGTGCCGTCCAGTCCAGTGGTGCATAAGACTCCATTTGCACCATGTGCAGTACAGTTACCTATTTCTGTCTCTCTTTCAGGTGATGAGAGATTACAACCTGCAGCTGTTTATTCAGGAGAATCCCGTATTTCACAAAGCTCAGCCCTTCCAGTTCCAGCCATGTGACAGTGACACGGTAAGGATCTTTTTATCATCTGATGGACTTTAGTCGCTACGTACCGCCTGTACAGGTGGATTTGTTTGCAGTGTTCACATGCCTTTGCCATGATGTCATCTTGTACTCTGGTCATTGTCAGTGCCACATCACCTGGCAGTTGGTGGCCCACAACGTGCTACCAAAAAGGTTGGTAGGAAAGTCCTGCCCTTGTTTCTTCAGATTTCATGAAGGTTTTTAAATGTTCTTTGAGAACATTGAGGTCTTGTCCTGTATTAAGGAGGGGATGTATTGCAGGGACAAGTCTATAATTGTGCCTCTATATAGATCGTTGGTTCGGCCACATCTGGAGTACGCGGTCCAGTTTTGGTCGTCTGTACTGAGAAGGGATGTCCTTGAACTGGAGAGAGTCCAGAGGAGGGCAACCAAACTAGTTAGGGGAATGGAGGACCAGAGCTATGAGACAACGCTACTGAACTTAAACATGGAATTAAGGGGGGATATGATTTTCATGTACAAGATGTTCAATGGTGACAGCAACATTGGCAACAAACTGTTTGAGATTAACTCCATTACAAAGACTAGAGGCCACCACCTAAAGTTGGTGGAGAAAAAATTCCAGCACAATGGGCGAAGAGGGTTCTTTACAGTAAGAGCGGTTAGGGTCTGGAACTCACTGCCACCGGCAGTTATTTCAGCCAAGAGTGTAGATTTGTTCAAGAAACTTTTGGACAATTTCTTGAGGGACCGTAATATCTAGGGACACCAGTATCCCTAAGAATGAGATGATGCGTGGACCTATATGGGTTGGACTTGATGAACGTATGTCTCTATTCAACCCCAAATACTATGTAACTTATTAGGTTCTGTCCATACACATGAGCCCAAACTCTTTACACTGTGCAGGTAACAAAGTGCTGGAGCCCCAATAATTCATCTTTATTAACCGTCAAAATCCAGCACATTACAGCAACAAGACAGTAACACGTTTTGGCTAGACAAGCCTTAGTCATCGCTAACTAAGTGGAGTAAGCTATGACTAAGGCTTGTGTAGCTGAAACGTGTTAGTCTTGTTGCTGTAATGTGCTGGATTTTGACTTTTATTTCATAAAGAGGATTTATGGCTCATATTTGGACTTCAGTGTTTTCAGTTGCGTTCACAGTCTATCGAGAGGAACAGGAGCCCTGCTGTTGAGACCAACATCCCAGGCTGCAGTGGCGAAGGAGGTAGAGCAATAAACATGCTTTAAAATGGTCTCTGAGAGGACTTCAGCTCAGCTATGAGGTCACCGCTACGCTTTCCCCTGCTTCATGCATGTTAAGGGCCAGTGTCGACCAGACTTTTTTGGCATCAGAATTGTTCCTCTACCCATATAAGTCTAAGGAAATTCAGTGAGATTGTGACGTGTTACCAGATAAAATAAGTTTGCAACAATGTGAACACATTCATGGACCTGTGTGGGGGAGCTTTTGTTCGCTTCAAGCAGGTTTTGCATTCCCATAAAAGTCTGTGGGATGACAAACCTGATTAAAGATGGTCAGCTGCAGGACAGGAGCAGGGTCCACTGCAGGTCAGGGGCAGGGTCCACTGCAGGTCAGGGGCAGTGTCCACTGCAGGTCAGGAGGAGGGTCCACTGCAGGTCAGGGGCAGGGTCCACTGCAGGTCAGGAGCAGGGTCCACTGCAGGTCGGGAGGAGGGTCCACTGCAGGTCAGGAGGAGGGTCCACTGCAGGTCAGGGGCAGGGTCCACTGCAGGTCAGGAGCAGGGTCCACTGCAGGTCAGGAGGAGGGTCCTTTGCAGGTCAGCAGGAGGGTCCACTGCAGGTCAGGAGGCGGTCCAAGACAGAAGGAGGGTCACCTGCCGGTGGGATCCCAGTGGGGAGGGGTCCACTGCCGGTGGGGTCGAAAGGAGGTCAGCTGCATGTCAGGTCAACTGCAGATCAAATGCACCTATCAATGAATTCTGAAAGATCACAGAAGCATCTCAGACTAATGGCAATGCCGTCTCGAGAAACCCAAAGTCCTTCCTCACAGGCCCTTAACTTGCTTTTTAGAATTGTTTCAACTTTTTTTAAAAAGAGAAGCTTTGTGGTCTCCAATTTTCCCTTTAAATGATCTGATCTTCAGGATTGATTCCTCTTTGAATGTTCCAACTTCTTTTTTCCCAATTAGCAAGTGCCCTCCTCCTGTGTCTAGTGATTGTGTCTTATAACGTGATTGGTTAATAGCATGCATTAACCCATCAGGGATCTACAAAAGCCTGCGTGTCTTCTAACCTGTGTGCTGTCTGTGTTTCTGTCCTCTGCCCGCTGTTTTGGCACAGAGCTTTAGTGCTGTCCCGCTGGTGGATATCGAGCCCTCTCCTGTCAGTGCTATGAGAATGCTCTTGGCAAAGGTACAGCCATTTCTGCTTGTGTTTCATCCTCATCTGGTATGTGTTTGTGATTGGTCAGTGCTGCCTTCTCGAGACCCGCGCAGTCTTAATCCGTACATAATCATCACAACTGTGCTTGTAACCCACACAAGAGAGCATTAATCCAAGTCATCACAATGACAGCCAGGGGATTAGCATTCTCAGTAGGCGAGGAGGTCATCAACTACAGGCTACGCGTTTCTATTGCCAAGTAGAAACAAAACTGTGCCACCTCCTGGCCCTTGGGGGCCCCTCATCTAACTAGTCCCATCCGGTAACCAATGCATGTTGTACATATCCCTTCTGCTACTATATGCTCCCTTTCTCATTCATACAGCGTGTGCTGGTTACTTTTTGGGGGGTGTTATGCCAGTCCTGTACAATATATTCTACCCGGAAATGTGGGAGGAGTTGCACTTTAATGTTGAAGTTTATTGTGCTTTCCCTGGTTCCTCCTTTCCTCCATCAACATGCTAATGATTTTTTAAATAAAACCTTTCCATTTTTATCACTTATCTAATGATCACTGGGTCTCTGTGCATTGCAGCGTGGTGGGAGGGTCTGGAAGGGTGCTGCACATGGCTTCCTGAAAACATCACAGCACACTACCTCAGTACTCTTTCAAGAGCTCTCAGCTCTAATCCAAACAGTGGGCTGTCTCTTGGGAGGAGTTATGCAAATATCAAAATGTCTTGATGGGTAGATGTCTGGATGAGTGGGAGTTCCCAGGCAGGCTGTATTTGCATGCAGACCACCCTAAGGGTTGTCCTAATGTGATGCTGAGCCTCCGTTAATGAAGGAACTGAACTCCTATAAATGAAAGGGGCACGGACAGTCTGGCTGGGGAGGAAAGTCCTAGATGATGGTGGACATCCTCCATCGGAGGATCTGTATGACTTCTAATGCACATTGCTAGAAGCTCACAGTGCGCAGTAAAATCATAGTCAGCCATTTCAGTCCAGGAGAGGAGCCGGTACAGCTGTGCAAGGCTGGAGTTCAGCTTTAAGGTGTCTGCTGCGCCTGACGGCATAGTTACATTTGCTGCTGAAGTCTTAAAGTGACAGCTCAGTTTAGCGCAGCAACAAGCTAGCTTGGAACGCTGCTCACGGGGGGCGCCATGAATATTTAAAAAGCTTTTCACAAACCTAAGCAGAGCGAATAATTAACGCCATTTACGGATTCGTTGTTATGCCGCTCTGCCTCACAATTACAAGTTTGTCATAGAAGCCGAGTTACATTTTGTGAAGCTCAGCGGAGAGCGTCACCGGCAGCGGAAGAGCTGTGAAGTCTGACAAGTCTTTTCTCTGCTTTTGTAGTGTCAGACGGTTCTCGCGGAGCTGCGGTAATTAACATTTCTGTCTTGCTCGGGGCAATCGTCTGATCTGCGTCCTCTTCTGCAAATGAGCTCCTAACATCTCCCGTAATAGCATTTTCCAGGGACGGTTAATAGCACGTTGTATTGTGCTCAGAGACATTGTCATCAAGTGACAGGCAGACAAGGGATCGGCTTTCCGAGAAGCAGCTGGGAGATGTCGGGATTATCCCATTGCTAGCCACATTCGGGGATATGCTCGGGTGTCACTTGCCGACCTGCTTTTTGGAAATGCTGGTGGCCTTGGCTGTCTGTGGCTTCAGTACTCCGAAATGCTGGTGGCCTTGGCTGTCTGTGGCTTCAGTACTCCGAAATGCTGGTGGCCTTGGCTGTCTGTGGCTTCAGTACTCCGAAATGCTGGTGGCCTTGGCTGTGTGTGGCTTCAGTACTCCGAAATGCTGGTGGCCTTGGCTGTCTGTGGCTTCGGTACTCCGAAATGCTGGTGGCCTTGGCTGTCTGTGGCTTCAGTACTCCAAAATGCTGGTGGCCTTGGCTGTCTGTGGCTTCAGTACTCTGAGGCACCGACCCAGAGCAGGCTTAAAGGCTAAGTTCATCTTTTACAAAAATTGAAGAAATTAATGTTTTTATAATATATAAAAAATTATGCATATTTTGCATTCAAGCCTGGGAAGCATTGCAACGGTGAACTATGCATTTCTTTAATTTTTGCACAAGGTGAACTTAGCCTTTAAGGTAGCCATACGGTAGCCCACGGGCTGAATGAAAAGACTAGAACCGATTCCTCCATTGATCAAGAAATCTCCCCCTGTCTTCATTGTATTTTGACAGCAGATGCCACCCACAGTCAGAATACCCAAACAAAGCCGGTGTTCTATCGAGATGTCCAACTTGTCGAGATCTCCAACTCCTGTCAGTGCGCCTGAGCGGCCACCTAAGAGCAGTATCACATTCTCTAATTTGCGTTAGTGCATCTGCGCGGGCATCAGATGGCACAAGCAGTTGGAGAACTCGATGAGGATTGCGAAGGCACACTTAGGGCAATTGGGCAAGTCGACGAGGCTTGCAAAAATGCCAAGGCTCTCGCTCCAATGGATGGCGTTACGAGTTGGAGATCTCGACGAGTTGGCCATTTCGACAGAACACCGGCTTCCTCATTGCTTTACTGAATCCATATGATCAGAGCTCTGCTTGGTACATAGCATATTGGTGTACAAGGTGGAAGTGACACATTGCTTTCATACATTGATATGATCTCCATGGTCTTTGTCAGCACTCCGTGGCATAGGATACGTGTGGGAATCTATCTTCCTCTGCCTGCAGATAACCACCATTGTACCGGAATGCTGCCGCAGCAGATTTAGCTGTGAAAGGAAGGCATCAGCTCATACCTTAGCCTGACATTGGCCCTTTCCTGTTTATGCACATGCTGTGAT